CCATCACTTCTAGATCCAAAAGAGGTAACTGGGAATGGAAATGTTTGACTAAGAACTAAACTTGGACTGAAACATATGTGTCTTTCTGGGCACACGTTATAAAAGCAACACGCTGAGTTTAGATTCTATCCTGGCACGGAGGAGAAGTCTGAGCAGGGACATAATCACGTTTCTGTGCCGAGAGATTGCTCTGTGGGTGGTTTGGAGAAGAGCAAGGTAGGAGGCATGAAGACCAACTGATTCTATTAAATGAAAAATGATTAGAGCCCAGATATGGCAATGGCAATGAGTATACAAAGGAAGAGGGCGGGGGGTTGAAAGATATTTAGAAGGCATGTAAGGGATGCAGGAAGCAAGGCATCGAAGCCTAATAGAGCATGGACGCACCATTCTCCCAGATGGGAAACTCAGGAAGAGCGGGCTTGAGGAGGAAAATAAGATCTAATTTCGGTCCACCCACGCTGGGGAATCCCAGGACAGCTCTGCCTGTGGGAGCACAGTAAGAGCCACACCCTCTTAGGGAGCCTTCTAGTCTGCCTCTCAGATCTGCTCCCCTGACCTGGGGGTGGGGGTGCAGACTGACTTGGAGATCTGACTTTTTTTTCTAACTGCTCCCCTGATGTGTTCAGGCTGTTCCTTGCTTTCTGAGGCTTCCTACTGGGGCATGAGCCCTCAGTCCTTCTGCTTCCAATTCACAGCCCAGAGGGTCCCCTCATACTGGTGCTGCCTCCTGAGACCTCAGTGAGCCCACCTTATACCAAAGGGCCTTCTCTTGGGTGGACCCAATTCACAGCCCAGAGGGTTCCCTGCTACCCCTCATACTGGTGCTGCCTCCTGAGACCTCAGCGAGCCCACCTTATACCAAAGGGCCTTCTCTTGGGTGGAGATGGGAGTTTCCCCCTAAAACCCAGGTTGGTTCAGCATTCTGAGTCCCAGTCCTACTCTCAGTCCTACAAACTCTTCTTGTCCGCATGAGGCAGAATGCCCAAGCAGTGCACTCCATGCCAGGTTCTCATTCTGCTGCCTGGCCAGAGGCCTGCCTGCCAGTGTTCCCTGCAGATGAACGTCTCTCTCGAGTGGCAGGTGGCTCAGTGTGGGGAGTTGAAGAAGTTATCACAAGCTTTTACCTTGAGGCACCTGAGAGAGCAAGATGTCTGGTCAGCAGGCCTGCTGGAGCCATTGGAGAGACTCTGGCCAAGGTTCTTGTTCTTGCTGCATCGGCTCAAACAGGTAGGTCTGAGCCGGAAATATGGCCTCGATATGGGCTGCCAGTGTTTGTGTCAGGATACGAAAGATACAGGCTTCATAAGTTGGACTAAGTGAACTTCCTTGAATGGGTCATTCAAGACATATCAACCTCACTGCAGAAACAATGCTAGCTCTTTGTCCATAAAATTAAAAAAAAAAAACACTTCAATCATGAATGTTTTCATGTGGAAAAAAAGAAGTTATAACAAAAAATACTGAACTCCACTCACCCGGCCTGTTCCATGGTCCCAGCAAAGCTGCCCTCCTGCTGCCCCACTCCTAGAAAAGGTCATTGTCAACCCAGAGCACGTCCAGGCTCTCCTCCAGCTGTGAACGTGCTAGCAGACACAGAACGCTCTGTGTTCCGGCAGGTGGTGGTGTGGGTTTTGTGCTCCATCCAGGTCTTCCACTGGGCAGACACTCCCCGGGGCCTCCTCGCCAATCAAGCTCCAATTTTGGCCTCACCTGGCAGGACAGGGCCATGTGCTGCTGCCGGACCTGTGAAGCTGAGCTCCTTTCTTCAGAGCTAAACAAAAGACTGGTAGGAATCAATGGCTTTTTTTTTTTTTTTACAACAAATTGGCCCAAACCGCTTGGCTGATGTGACTGAGTGGTTGAGTGGCAACCTATGAACCAGGAGGTCACGGTTCAATTCCCAGTCAGGGCACAAGCCCAGGTTGCAGGCTCGATCCCCAGTGGGGAGCATGCGGGAGGCAGCTGATCTATGATTCTTGCTCATCATTAATGTTTCTCTCCCTCTCTCCCTCTGCCCTTCCTCTCTCTGAAATCAATAAAAACATATATTTTTTTAAAAAAAATTGGCCCAAACCCTTGAACACCAGCCTTTTGAGCAAGTGAAACTTACTTTGAGATTAGAGATGAAATTGGCAACGTGCCCCTTTCCCTTCTTCTCTGGCCCACTGCTACCCTGCGGTGGGACCCCAGCCCCATGACGTACTCAGGCTTCAGTGAGCCCAACAGTTGTCCCCGCCTCAGTGGAGCTCCGAGTAGTGTGAATCCACTTTTAGTGAGAGGTCACTGTAGACAATGATGTAGCCTAGTGGTTCCCGAAATGTGGTCCCCAGCCAGCATCAGCATCACCTGGGATATGCTATTTTCACGCCCATCCCACACCTTCCAGAATCAGAAACTCTGAGCTGAGCCCAGCCATCAAGAGTTGAACAATCTCTCCAGGTGCTTCTGATGCCCACTAGAGATTGAGAACCACCTATGTAGACTGATGGTATTGAACAGCTGCATGGACTAAGGCTGGTCGGCAAACTGCGGCTCAGAAAACCGTGGCTCGCGAGCCACACGCGGCTCTTTGGCCCCTTGAGTGTGGCTCTTCCACAAAATACCGACTTCTGCGCATGGGCCAACAGTGCGATTGAAACTTCGTGGCCCATGTGCAGAAGTCGGTATTTTGTGGAAGAGCCACACTCAAGGGGCCAAAGAGCCGCATGTGGCTCGCGAGCTGCGGTTTGCCAACCACGGGTAAGCCTTTCTTGGTCCAGCAAGCCCAGCCCCCTACCTAGCCAAGGCCCTGCTCCTCCATGAATATGGATAGATTTTGCTGACAAATGACCTGTACTGGAGGCAGAGGGGAGCAACCTGCAGTTTCTCAGAGCTGCGTGTGGGGAGCTGGTCCAAAGTCTGGTGGTTGCTATTAGGCAACTGCTGGCCATTAAACCCCACCACCCTATGGCTGGAGGCCTCACCCCCTCTGTTTTACTTCAGTCTTCTACAGTTAGACATGCCAAGCTCTATCCCATCTGTCACCTCATGCCAATAAATGTCCTCTTGCCGGGGACCTTAGGACTAGCTCCTTCAGTGGCCTGGTTGGAACCAGTGGCTCCGCAGCACAGAGAATGCTGCCTGTGCTGACTGGCTGTCCTCACTGCCTTCTGTTTCCATTTATGTTTCTCTTAGTGGCTACGCCCAAACACATGCTAGTCTGGATCAACACAATAATTTGTGATCTATTTTAGTACTGTAAAAACTACAAAAGTTTTTTTCTGGGCTCATATATAGTACTATCTCAGTTTACCTCAGTTCTGAGTTTGCAAGCTGGTAAACACTTTACCTGGTTCAACATAAGGTCAATTTGGCTTTTCATGGCAATTTTAGTCCCACATCACTAACTTCACTGACAACAACCAGCTCTCCATCCAGACACAGTCACCTCCACTTCCTATCACAGTCCCTGGTTTTTCTTATGCTTGGTTAGCTTCATTCACTCGTTCACTGATTTGTTATTCCCCCTCTCTCATCAAAGGTTTAATTATTGAGCAAAACAGTTACTCCATACATTTATACCATGCTAAGCACTTTCCATCCCATCTCACACCTGCGAGGAATAGACTGTAAGGGCAGTGGCGAGGCGCCTCCTGCCGGCGTCCCGGCGCACTGCAGCTTTGCAGGCGCGCTATCGCTGCGTCCCCGCGGGTCACGAGCTTCCCAGGACCTGGGGACGAGTGCCAGCGCAAGGCTTCCTGGGAAATGTCTTAGGTGTACGTGTTAGAACTACAAATCCCGGTAGGCACCGCGCTGCAGCCCGATGACGAGGGCGCCGTGGTGAATCTGAATCTTGTTTGTCAGTGCCACTGGGAATACTGTACAAACCTGATTCAATATTCACAGGAGGCTCTGGGGGGACATGATCGTTCTTCTGCCAGGCGCGCACGAACGGACTCGAGTTCCGCAGCTTCCCCGGAGTTGCTCGGGTGGCGAATCTGCCGTTGCGGCACCCTGGGCAGGCGCATAAGGCCCCAACGGGAAGTTTGTGGAATCTGCTGTGGGGAGAACGACGCCAGGGTCTCTTGGGCGACTGCAGCCATGGCGGCGGCTGCCCCCAGTGCGGGCGGCT